GGAGCCAATCCTATGTGTTGGATGATTGGAGGGGAGATTATTCTAAATAAAAGGGGGTGGGGTGGTAAGTTCAAGAGATGCAGAAATAGAAACAGCTCACAAGGTTTTATTTGGTAACAAAACAGCTGAGATTTCGCCCTGTTTTCCTTCGGTAAGGAGATAGGACGGGTGGGCTTGATGTAAGCAGGCACTGACTACAGTTATGGGCAGATGTGCGTGAAGGAAAGGAAAAGTGGGAAAGGAAAGGAAAGGAAAAGTTGGTACCATGAGTTAGACTGAAACATGATGGCCTGAAACAAGCACAGAATGTATTTGAAACAGCATGACCATTCCTAAATTTCCTTTCTGTTCATCACAGAAGGACCATCTAGTTTGTATGCAGGTTCCGTCTTTTAGAAAATTGATCTTTGAGAAGTACTATGTGAAATATTTTAAATTTAGCCACTGCAAAAGTTGCTTCTTATTGTAAGGTATTTTTGTATTACAAGGAAGAGATTTGCAAAGCGATTATATGTTTAGTTGCTAAGTCGTGTCCGACTCTTTCGACCCCATGGACTGTAGCCTGCCAGGCTCCTCTCCATGGGATTTCCCAGGCCAGAATACTGGAGTGGGTTGTCATTTCCCTCTCCAGGGGATCTTCCCGACCCAGGGACTGAACCCCGGTCTCTATTCCCGTGGTTTAACGTACTTCTTAACGACTTTGGTTCAGGGGCGGAAGGAAGAGGCAGCAGCTACAACATGTTTTGAATATGTTCACATACTTATTTTGTTGAAGGTATTCTATGAGTTACATAGTTTTACTCACTGACCCAGAAATAGTGAAAAAGTTGAAAGAGCTGGGTGTGGTGGTAGATGTGAAGTAATTACTGACTCCTTACCATGTGTGCTTTTAATTTAACACCTCTCGCACCTCGATAAACACTAGATATGTTTTATTTTGGAAAACATCTGTCAGCAATAATGATTACTATTTCAAAGCAATTTGAACATTTGGGGAAGTCATTATATAGGAAAAAAGTTACTTGTGTTTTCTGCACAGATCTGAAGGCAAATATAGGGAGGAGTGTTTATTTATGGATGAGTAAACTTGTCTAAGAACATGTCGTCCATCTTATAAATTGCTTCATTTTTCAGAAATAAATGTTCAGGGTTTTGTTTTGAGATATAACAGTTTCAGCTGTACAGTGTATTGACTTGATATTTGCATATATTGCAAAATAATCACACAATAAGTCCAGTTAACATCTGTCATTATAGACATAGTTACATTGTTGTTTTTTTTTTTTCTGTGCTGAAAACTTGATTTCAAGAGCTGCTCTCCCAGCTACATTCATATATGAAATACAGTATTATTAGTTTATAGTCACCATGTTGTACATTATACATCCCCATGACTTATCCATTTTATAACTGGAAATTTGAAGAAAGTTATAGATTTAAAGTCCTTTTTAGATGTCAAGACTATGGGTTGATTCAAGATTATGGTGTGGAGTTCGATACACAGATCTGAGACTTAACTGAGAAGTTGGGACCAGGAGACCCAAGGATAGACTTAGGTTAGTACAGAAAGCTAACAGTAGCCGGAAAACTGGGTGACTGGGAGGAGTCTAACCTGTGTGTTGCCTGTACTTAGACATTCCTCTCTATCTGGGCCTCTTGGGGCTTCCCTTGAAGAAGGGTTGGAACTCCTAGAGCAAACATGAGGGTTGTTGGGGCCCACAGGCTTAGTTCTCCCAGAGGAAGAATCTGTATCTTCATCAGAAGAACCTCAAGAGATCTCTGCTACTTTATGGGTACTTGATTGTAGCCTTGAAGTAGCAGAGATTTGTGGACACAGGGAAAGTTAGCTCTTACACCATCTAACTGTTTTTGTTGAGGTTTAATGGAAAGGGCCTAGGATCTGAAATCACAAAGTCTGTGTTCCAGTCTCAGCCCTGACTAAGGCGGACCATACCTGAAGTCACTTAATCTCTCTGGGATTCAGTTTTTTCCTCTTCATCTGTAAAAAAGGAAATTTCAACTCAAATAAGTCTCCAGCTCTCAAATACTGCATTAAAAGTTAGATGTTATCATTTTAAATCTTCAACTCCATTGTAAATACTGATGCAAACTTAGGCATTGAAATCACGCGGCATTTCTTGGTTTCAAGGCAGTTAGGTGTGTAAGTTGTTGCTATTCAGTCGCTCAGTCCTGTCTGATTCTTTGTGATCAGGCTTCTCTGTCCTTCACTGTTTCCTGGAGTTTGCTTCAGGAAATTTGAATTCATGTCCTTTGAGTTGGTGATGCTATCTAACCATCTCATCTTCTGCTGCCCTCTTTGCCTTTTGCCTTCAATCTTTCCCAGCATCAGGGTCTTTTCCAATGAGTTGGCTCTTCGCATCAGGAGGCCAAAGTATTGGAGTTTCAGCTTCAGCATCAGTCCTTCCAATGAATACTCAGGGTTGATTTCCTTTAGGATTGTCTGGTTTGATTCCCCCATTGACTGGTTTGAACTACATGCTCAGTATAAAAAGGTACATAAGTGCTTTACATTATTTTTGTAATATCTTGAAAACAAAAGCAGTATTAAAATTCTCTTATATAGAAAGCAGTTGTGGCAAAAAGACCAATACTTGATGAATCTAACCATAGTAATAATAAAATGTTGGATAAAGTAAATGCTTATTAGTAAAGAGTGCCTGGAGATTCTTAAGTTCTTTTGCTTAGTTAATAGAGACTTGTCTCCTTTTGCAAAAATTTCATACTTATCTTTTGTGAGATTTTCATTCTCAGTGTAGAAAAATTACTTGTAAAGAAAGAGTGGTGAGTTTCTTTTTTTTAAAATGAGTTTTCTTACATTGTAATCTTACTAATATTGGGACTTACTCTCCCTGTCAGATGTAAATTTGATGCTGTTACTTTGGGCTGGTGATGGTGGTGCTTGATATTTCTTTTCCTGGATGATTGCATGATTGACAAAGCTGGCACCTCAGGTTTCGTCCTGCTATCAACGACTGATCCTGTTTCCTCCTACCACATGGTACCTTCATTGCTTTATGTTGTGTATTTGATGATAGACATCCTAACATGTATGAGGTGATAACTCATTGTGGTTTTGATTTGCATTTCCCTGTTGATTAATGATGTCAAGCATTTTTTCAAGTGTTTGTGGGCCATATTTATGTCTCTTTTGGAAAAATGTCTATTCAGGTTCCTTTGCCCATGTTTTCTTCTTTGTTTTGGCCACACCGCAGCTTGCAGGATCTTAGTTCCTGGACCAGGGATTGAACCCAGTCTCCCACAGTGAAAGCACTGAGTTCTAACCACTGAAGTACTAGAGAATTCCCTTGTTGCCCATTTTTGAAGTAGACTATTGATTTTTTTTTTTTTTTTTTGGCTATTGAATTGTATGAATTTCTTATATATTTTGGATATTAACCCCTTATTGGAAGGTATATATGCAAGTATTTTGTCTCATTCTGTAGATTGCCCTTTCATTTTGTTTGTTGGTGGTTTGTTGATGGTGCAAAAGCTTTTTAGTTTGCTGTAGCTCCACTTACTGATTTTTGCTTTTGATGTCAAGTTCAAAAAATTCATTTGTGACGAACAATGTCAAGGAGCTTAGCCCTGTGTTTTCTTCTAGAAGTTTTAATGGTTTCAGATCTTCTGTTCAACTCCCGTTTTGAGCTGATTTCTGTGTATGATGTAAGACAGTGGTCTCATTTCATTCTTTGCATGTCCACTTTTCCCAACACCATTTATTAAAGAGACTATCCTTTTCCCATTGTATATTCTTGACTCCTCTGTTATAAATTACTTGAGCATATATGTGTGGGTTTTATTTCTGGATTCTGTCTCATTGATCTATGCCTTGATACACCTGCTATACATACTGTAGCTTTGTAACATAGTTTGAAGTAAGGAAGCATGGTGCCTTCAGCCTTCAGCTTTATTCTTTCTAAAGATTTCTTGGCCACTTGGGGTCTTTTCTGGTTTTATACAAATACTAGAATTGTTTGTTCTCTTTCTGTGAAAAATGTCATTGCCGTTTTGTTAGGCATTGCATTAAATCTATAAACTGCTTTGTAGAAAGTATGGACATTTTAACAATATAAATTTTTCTGATCCATGGACATGAAATGTTTTCATTTATTCGTGTCTTCAGTTTCTTTAATCAGTGTCTTACTAGTACGTTTTCAATGTACTTTTTTCCCCCTGTATATACATTCTGGTGGCATATCTTCCTTTCTTCTCATTGTGGTAGCTTCTTGTTGCAGGGCGTGGGCCCTAGAGCGAGGCTTCCATGGTTGTGGCGCAGGGACTTATTTGCTCTGTGGTCCGTGGAACCTTCCTGGACTAAGGATGACCCACGTCCCCGGCATTGGCAGGCGGATTCTTAACCACTGGACCACCGGGAAAGTCCCCTGTGTCCAGATTTTGAATGTCTCTAATTCAGATAAATGAGTTTTTTCATTTCATTGTTTATACAGTTGTTGATAAACAAAAAAACGGTATTTGAAAGTTGAGAATATGGTAACTTCTGTAAATAGGCATTTGCTTCTTCCAATAATAACCCACATCTATAAAGTTTAGTGTTCTAATAGGAGGACTTACTTGAAGGTAAGATAACTCATTTGTGAGAAAAGTCCATTTATACACCATCAGTCATTACTAATATATGACTGTTTTGAGAAAGATTTTTAATCTTGGTAATAATTTTTAGGTTTTGTATAACTATAAAATGCTGTTTAGTTGGTAAGTCACATCTGACTCTTTTGTGATCCCATGGACTATATAGCCTGCCAGGCTCCTCTGTCCATGGGGTTTTCCAGGCAAGAATACTGGAGTGGGTTGCCGTTTCCTTCTCCAGGGGATCTTCCTGACTCAGGGATCGAATCTCTCCTGCATTAGCAGGCAGATTTTTTATTTTTACCACTGAGTCACCAAGGAAGTCCCATAACTACAAAATAAATCTAGCCATATTCTAACCACTTAACGAAGACCCTTCTATTTTTCCGCAGTGTCTCCTGAGGCTACAGGCGGGTGTTTGAGGAGTACATGCGGGTTATCAGCCAGCGGTACCCTGACATCCGCATAGAGGGGGAGAGCTACCTCCCCCAGCCAGTGTACAGGTGAGTGAGTGTGGGCTTCCCTGACATCCGCATAGAGGGGGAGGGCTACCTCCCCCAGCCAGTGTACAGGTGAGTGAGTGTGGGCTTCCCTGACGTCCGCATAGAGGGGGAGGGCTACCTCCCCCAGCCAGTGTACAGGTGAGTGAGTGTGGGCTTCCCTGACATCCGCATAGAAGGGGAGAGCTACCTCCCCCAGCCAGCGTACAGGTGAGTGAGTGTGGGCTTCCCTGACATCCGCATAGAGGGGGAGAGCTACCTCCCCCAGCCAATGTACAGGTAAGTAAGTGTGGGCTTCTTAAGGGATTCTTAAGTGAACTGTTTTCTCATTTGTCAATAAACTTTTGTGAATTGGTTGAATTTTAACTTTCCTTGGTTATTGTAATTTCTTAGTTGGTTATACTTTACAGAGAACAGTTTTGTAAATAGCAAGTTTATTTGAGCCAAATACCAAAGAATTTTTCTGTAAGAAGGAAAAGAGGAAAATCATTTCAGAGATGGCAATCCTTCTAAAGATGTGTTTTCTTAATTTATATTGTGGCAATAAATCAAGTCAATGGTACAAAATTGTGTACTGTTAAAATAATAGTATCTTTAGAGACCAGTGCTATAATTTTAGAAATTAATTTTTGATTGATTCAAAGATCTTAAACTTTTTTGTTTTATGCTGCACAATAAAATTTAGTTATGGGCGTTTCGGATGGACAGGTACACACTGCTATATTTAAAATGGATAAACAACAAGGACTTACTGAAGAAAAAATTTGTTACTAGCTTTTTCCTGGTATAGTTAGCAATTTTTAGATCTAGTGTTTAAAAGATGTCTATACACATAGACTTGAGTTATGAAATTTTGAAATTGATGAGAAATTGGCAGCTTCTGATTAATTTATTTCTTTTCTTTTGATAGACACATAGCATCTTTCCTGTCAGTCTTCAAGCTCATATTAATAGGCTTAATAATTGTTGGCAAGGATCCTTTTGCTTTCTTTGGCATGCAAGCTCCTAGCATCTGGCAGTGGGGCCAAGAAAATAAGGTATGTAATATAATGGGTTTGATACCTGTAGGTTTTTTGGTTGTCAGTGAAGTAGTCTAGTGGGTTTTTCTTTTTTTAAGTACTTTTTGCCATTTACATGTGCTATTTCAACGTAAAGCAGTTTTTTTTTTCCTTTTTTCCCCCCTGGCAAAACAACTAAACTCCCTTGGCCTTAGTCTACATATTTATATATTAAGAATGATTAGGTCTTATGTTTTATTGTTTGAAAGATAGAGAAGGGTTACTTTAGTAGAACCTGGGCACAGAATAATTTCATACTTGATTTTGATTGTGTAACTTGGGCCAAGTCATACAGCAGAACAATGGATACATAATGTAAGCCTTTTATACGAAGTATTGAGTATTCATAGGTTTATACACATTAAAAATGAGATTTCCACCAATTTACTCTTATCCAACTCTCTGTTTTTATTATTTGTTCTTTGACATTTCTGTCCATGAGGTATCTAAAGCAAATTAACTGGAAAAAATCAGTATAAATATACGTAAGGATCTTGTGCTATTTTTTTTCTTTGTAGGGTCTTGGTGGAGCATACTGTTTTCTGGAGCTCTCATCTGTTTTACTTAAAATCATTTTTTCTGCAGGGTCTACCTTTCTTCTGTGAGAAATAAGACTAATTTTTCTTTCTCTCTTGAATGATATTGCTTAGATTTCCTTCTAAGCATTACTGTCTTTTGGAGTCCTCTGTCTTATCTGTTAGTTCTATGCTGAGACAGCCTTTAGCCAGCTCATAACAAAGCTGTTCTTTTTCTTACAGAATCAGTTAATTTCCAGTAGCAGGCAAGACTTCTTAACATAAACATCCTCAGGTGCTACTTCTAATTGAGATGTGTATCTACTCTTATTAACAAAATGTTGATTTACATTGGATTAAGAGTACTTATGACAATGTTTTGTGCTATATTTGTTAATTCTGTTGATTCCACATTATCTTTAGTGCAGTTTACTTGTATAGACTTAAAACGTCATTGATCTACTGTGGAAGAGGATACCTGAAAGCTGTAGCTTTCATGACACTTCCTTGGGTATTGTTCTCCTGAAAGCAGACTTTGTCCCTAAATGCTGGGATAACTTCTCTGAAATCAGAGCCCACCTAGCTCAAGTGGGACTAGGGGAAAGCATCTTCTCATCTGCTGTAGGCATTTTAATTTATTTTTCTGAAGCAGCTGGCTGTGAATTGACATCCTTACTACATCCTGCTTTCAATTGGGTGATTTTGTTAAAATTAAAACCTCTCTGTCCAGCAGGAGCTTTTAATTTCTTGGGAGGGTATAGATTTGCCTTCAGAAAGTGAATGAATGTAACTTAATACGCCAGTGCTTTCTAACCTACTTTTTTCCAGTTTGACTTTACATGACTTGTTTGGAACATGGATAGGTTGTATTGAATACATGGGATTGCTGATGATTGCATCACTAGTCCCTTGGGAATTCATACATTAGATCAAAGCTAAAATGAATCCATCTTAAGCTGGTATTCTTTTTTTTTTTCATTTATTTTTATTAGTTGGAGGCTAATTACTTTACAATATTATAGTGGTTTTTGCCATACACTGACATGAATCAGCCATGGATTTACATGTGTTCCCCATCCTGATCCCCCCTCCCACCTCCCTCTTCATCCGATCCCTCTGGTTNGCCAGGGATCAAACCTATGCCCCCTGAAGTGGGAGTGTGGAGTCTTAACCACTGGACCACCAAGGAAGTCCCTCAAAATTTTATCTTTACATTATGAATAACATATAAATTCTTCAGAATGTATAGAGCTGCGAATTAGTGTTGCAGTTTTCTGTGTACTGCATATATGAATATATGGAAAGCGAGTAATTGTATATAATCTTCAGGTAGATTTAAAAGAACAGTTACCAAATAAAAATGAGACTGTATTTAAAAGATTACTTGTCATGTTGTTTTGATTTGAGACTGACTTAACCTGTTGTATTTTATTGTATTTTCCTTTAGGTCTATGCATGTATGATGGTATTCTTCTTGAGCAACATGATTGAGAACCAGTGTATGTCAACAGGTGCATTTGAGATAACTTTGAATGGTAGGTTCTGAATAGTTTGCATTTTGTAGTAAATTTTAAATGATTTATGCTGAGCATCAGGCTTTTCTGTCTTTCATAATATGCTAAATTATACCCTTGTATGGTCTCAGCCACTCCCATGGCTTTAGAATAGCGTCTGTGAATGTGTACCCTTGAATGTGTAGTCTGGAGAGTTCTAGACCTCTCTCCTATGTTCTGTGTGTAGCCAGGAACCCTGAACATTGCCTGCCCCCAAACGGTTGGTTACCTCTGCTTCCTGCAGTTCTGTTACACTCCATCTGCTTCTTTCCTGGCATTTCTCACTTATTTAATGGCACCATTATCATTCTACCCAGTTGCTCACGTCAGAAACCTAGGATAACATCACTTACTCTCCATATCTAATGGATTACCAATTTTTCTCAATTCTACTTTTTACAATTTTCAAAGATCAGCTTCTGTTTATCTTCGTTGCTAACCACCCTAATCCAAGCCACAATTATCTTGTTGCCCTTTAACATATTGTCTGAACCAGAGGTTGGCAAGTATAGTATGGCCTATGAGCTAACAGTGGCTTTGACAGTTTTAAAATTTATTTACTTATTTATTTTTACTAAAAATTTTTTTAATGAAAATGAATTAAAAAGGCAACGAAGTTTTCAAATATACAGCACAGTGATTCCTATATATATACTTTTTTGGATTATTTTCCCTTCTGAGTTATTAATATTGAGTACATTTTCCTGTGCTATATAGTAAATCCTTATTTTTTTATTTTATGGGAAGCAATATATATATGTTAATCCCATCCTCCTAGTTTATCCTTCTGACTAACCCCTTACCTCTTTGGTGGCCATAAGTTTGTTTTCCGTGTCTGTGAGTCTTTCTGTTTTGTGAATAAGCTCCTTTGTGTCTTTTTCTTTAAGATCACACGTATCAGTGATGCCATATGGTACTTGTCTTTCTCTGTCTGGCCTGCTTCGCTGAATGTGATAATCTCTGGGTCCATCCACTGTTGCTAGGTGGCACTTAGGTTTTGTTGGGTTTTTTTTTTTTGGCTGCACAGTGTGATTTGCAGGGTCTTAGTTCCCCAACCCAGGATTGAACCCAGGCCCTTGCAGTGAAAATGCTAAGTCCTAACCACTGTACCACTAGAGAATTCCTTTTTACATTTTTTAATGGATAAACAATCAAAAGAATATTTTGTGACATGGACATTATATGAAATTCAAATTTTAGTACTCATACCTAGAGTTTTGTGTTTCATCAATGGAAAATTTGTGTAAGTACCTATATAATATCCTTGATTTTGCCTCTTGGTTTGTAAAGTCTAAAATATTTACTGTCTGGCTTTATACAGAAAAAATTTGCTGACACCTGCTCCAAACAGTTATTTAAAAGATTTTTTTAAATGCACCTTTCATCTTATTGCTTCACTGCCTCAAATTTATTAAATGGCTTTATTTTGTTCTCAAGATAAAGACCAGAACATTTAACCTGGACAGAAGGCCCTGCATGATGTAGTGTAGGCATGGACAAACCATGGCCCTGTGTACCATATCTTCTGCTTCCTGCTTTGTAAATAAAGTTTTATTAGAACACAGCCATGCCCATTCATTTATCTGTTGCCTGTTACTGCTTTTGGACTATAATGGATCTTAAGTAGCTGGGACAGACTGTATATCTTCTTGAACTAAACATGCTTTTTCTCTGACTCTTTATAGTTTTTTGATCCCTGATCTGATCCCTGCTTACCTCTTCAGCCTCCTTTGTACCATTCTTCTGTAATTTAGCTTTTATGTTTAACAATAATATCTCTCAATTTTAATAATATCTGTTTTAATAATAGTAAGTACAAAGGCTCCTCCCCAGCCTCATATGCCCTCTCGTAGCATCTTCTCATTTTAATTTTTAGTGTACAAAGGTGATTTTGTAGCTGTTGTATAGTTCTTTTTCTGCTTCCTCTACTAGAATGTAAACTCCATAAAAGCAGAAAGCTTAATTCTGTGTCCAGCTGTGTGCATACAGTACAGTACATATTTGTAGAATGAATGTCTATTATAGAATCATCTTTAATTTGGAGAGGACGGTACCATTTATTTTTGTAGATGTACCTGTGTGGTCTAAGTTGGAATCTGGTCACCTTCCATCCATGCAACAGCTTGTTCAAATTCTTGACAATGAAATGAAGCTCAATGTGCATATGGATTCAATCCCACACCATCGATCATAGCCCCAACTATCAGCACTGAAAACTCTTTTGTAAGTAGTTTAAAAATGCAGTAACTATAGGTATCAGTTAATTCTCATGAATCAGTAAGATGTTACATATATATTAGTATGCTAGGTATACATATATAATAACAGGTGTTGCATTTATTGTCAGTTGAGTTTCCAACTTAAGATTTAACAAATGAATGTCTTTTTCATTAAAATTTATAAGTGTCCAAGAGAGTTTGGACCATAAAGTAAGGTTGTGCTATTAGTTTTATGCTTAAGGCTTAATTGGGCCTGTAAGGCTTAATAATTGGGCCTGCAGTAGCATTTTTTTGACTGCGAACTCCTGATGACTAGAATTCATATACTATACCTGTATTGTACATATAAGCCCTCTTTTTACCTTCAAATAACTAGTTCTTAAAACTATGCAATTTCTTTTCACATGCTCATGATGAAATTTATAAGCAAATGTGCATGAACATGTAGGGGTGAAAGTTAATTATGTTTAGCAGAGGTGTTGTCAGTTATTTGCTGATCAGGTTAATTTTATGAGTGAATTTTTAAAATAAAATGCTTTTTTTTTTCTTTGTCTCTTTCAGACATTAAGGGATTTTTGCAAGAGCAGCGTGACTGACATTATGAAGGCCTGTACTGAAGACAGCAAGCTGTTAGTGCAGGCCAGATGCTTTCTTGGCAGGCTCGTTGTACCTCTTGGAAAACCTCAATGCAAGGGAGTTTTTCAGTGCTGGCACATTTTGGAATTCTGCACATTCGTGGAGTGCAATAATACTGTATAGCTTTTTTTCTTCCCCAGATCCAGTCAGTTAATAGTTTTAAAAAAAGCAGACATGCTCCTTGTACTTTTTTTTTCTTGGTCATATTTTCAAAAGTAGAAAATTGAGTTACAATTTTATTGTTTTTCAAAGATGTCTGTCAAATCTGTTGTGATTTTATATGAATTTTCCTTTTTTATAGTTTAAAATTCATCTTTTGGAGACTAGAGCTGAAGTTCCCAAATACTTTATAAGAGTTTATCAGACATCTCTAATTTGGTTGTGTCCAATTTATATAGTTTTCAAAATACTGCAGATTGTGAACAGCATATTATATAAGATTAAGGGGGGGAAATCCTATATCCAGAGTACTCTACCAGTTGTGTATGTGTATGTGTGTGTGCGCGTGTGTGATTACCAGAGAACTACTAAAAGACCAACCTCTTTTTAAATCCTGTTATGTAGTTCAAGTGTCCTGCCTTGACCAATTTAATGAGTTGATTAACTGGGCCTTTATACTTAACTCAATAAAAAACTAAACAGATATAAGTTAAATAAAAAGTTCGAGTTTATTGCCCAGCGTACCTACTAACATTGTATGTGACAGTTGTCTACCTAAGTTTGTGTTCTTAGACTCACTGGCAGTTTCCTAGGGGACACTCTTTAGATTCACACATAAGTAATAGGTCACTCACCATTTTAAGGATAATTGAAACTTGCTTCACTTTTAAGAAAGTTTAGTTAAACCTCTTCACAACATTAATGTGAGGTACATGGAGATCACTTGTCTAATAATTTAACTTGTGTGACATCATATATCAGAATTTTATTATACTTGAGGAACAAAATTGAAGTTTTTTATTTGGTGAATTTAATGTCTTTCCAGAGTTCTAAAAAGGTAGTTTTTTTTTTTTTTAATTAAATTGATAAAGATGATAATTTTGCAGAAGTAGGACCATAAAGTAGAAAAGTAGTCAAATATCAACAGTCATAACATACTTCAGCTTCCGTGAGGAATAGAAGTGATAGGTCTGATTTTGTTAGTGGAAGAAAAGGGATTTATGGAAAAGTTATGAGATGTTTCAATATTGAGTCCACCAAACACTTTGCACATTATACTTCATTTGTCAGTGAATATTTGTTGAAATGCATGTCTGGTTATCATCATGACTGTGACATCCTCAAGGTAGAATGCACTGTAGTCCCTAGCTGAACGGAAGTTAGCCTGATACTTCATGACAGAAAATTGATTAAATGCCTTATCCTTTTAATTAAGGCTGCAGAACTGTTAACCTAAGATCACACTGTGGCAACAGTCAATACAGTTTAAGCCGGAGGTTACTTGGAGGTTATTACTCAGGTGTAATAACATTTCGCTGTCTTTGACTAGGGTTTAAAGGCCTGTTAACTTGATTTGTACCAGCCCAGACCTCTTCCCTCTTACAAGTTGAACACACTGTTGAGTGTGTGTAGGGTCTTTCTTCAGCATCAGACATTCCACTAGTGGTGGTTAGCCTTTTGACATTTAGAACTTCCAAACTTGAATCTATCTAGTCCCATGTGTCTGACAGGCCAGCCATGAAGAATTTAAGATTTAATTCTAACTTTTTCCACCTTTGCCTTGGGTGAATGACTCGTCTTTTGGAGAGTACCTTTAAGTGACTTGGTCACTGATAAAACTCAACTATTTTGTTGGCACCCATTTCAATATTTATGTTTGGCCATATTTAAATTTAAAATTTAATAGAGTCTAGTGAAAAAATTAGTGGAATGTGTGAATATAAAAAAACACAAAAAAGAGAAAGCTATTTAAACTGTGGCTTTATTATATTCCTAACATTTCAAAATTTATTACATAGTTGCTTATAAATTGCTGTGGCTGTATAGTTTATAAATGTTTATGTACTGTGTTAATTAGAAGACCATAGAACGTGACATCAGTTTGGTTAATGTTATTCCATAGTTGCTGTTGTGGAAGAGATTATATATTAGATTAATAAAAAAAAATGTTGGTAAAACCTGGCTTTATACCTCAGCACCAAAATGTACAAAAAACATAGGCTTTCGGGATATATGTGCATTATTAACTCATGGCACTGAGATTAATGATAGCAGTTGATCAAACATGACTATCAAAATATAACAGGATCCTAATGATGATTCTTATTTTGACTTTTATTAGTTTGAGACTTTGGTTGGTTAGCATTTTATCATTGTCATAATTTTAATTAATTTTGATTTTCAAAAACAGCCTACAGAACCTTAAAGCATGATTTGATATTTAATACTAAGACTTAAAATCTCTTTTGAGAGAAACATGAGGAATTGTAAAGTTCGGGGGCTTCCCTCTATAGCATTGTGAGAATAAACTTTTAAGCTGATGTGAAAGGAATCCCTCCTTTCTGAAGCTGAATCTGTGCTAGAACACTTGATAACTGTATTTAGGAAATTTGCATTGTAAAAGTTGTTATCAAACAATGTTTTCTAATGGCTTCCTTACCCCACCAGTGCTGACACGCCCCGTTCCCCACCCAGCACCCCCAGCCCCAGCTTGGCACTCCAGTCTTGACTGCTCTTGGGCCTTAACCTGCTTCCTGAACCTGTTGGTCCAGCTGTGTGTACTTCAGTGTTCCTTTTATCAGCTCTGTGGCATGTTCTCTGCTGGGGTGGAGCAAAAAGGAGCAGTTTAGATCATTGTCCTTCACCCCTGACCTCCAAAACCCCGGTGAAAGTCATGCTAACATCCCCAAATCTGGAGAGAAATAAAATGAGAGTTTCTCTCTTGACTGATAACACACCATGTAACCATTTAACCATTTCTCTCAAAAGAGAAAGCAAGGTTGTTATCTTCCTTAAATCCAGCTGAGCCATTTCCTTCAAAGTCCCTGGCTCCTTTCCTCTAGGCTTAAAAACCAATAGAAGCAGACCCAGATCTGAACTGAAGAAAAATAGAAATTGGTCTCAGGCCCAGTGGGGAGAGTGTTAAATCACCCATCCTCTGTCAAGGCTTGTAGACTTTGTTAAGCAGGAACAGAATAAAAGGAAACATGATATCCAGGCAAGCATGTAACAGCAGTGGTTTTAAACCTTGAGAGAATAATTAAGGCAAATTCCTGGACCCTGTCCCTAGAGATGCTGACTGATTTGCTCTGAGAGGGTTCCAGTAATTTGGGCTGCAGCGCAGCTTCCAGATAATGCGGACGCTGTCAGCCCGAGGTCCACACTGAGGAACACAGGGCCAGAGGGCCCGGGGTCAGTGTGCAGAGAGCTCGGGACAGATGCCGCTGTGAAACGGAAGAAGGTTTTCCACAGTCGCTTCACATGTGTAGAATGACTGAGAACAAGACAGTCAGTAAAATGAGAACCTCAAAGAAGAAACAGAATGAGATGAGATTGTTTTAAAGAAAATAAATTGAGGGTTTAATTGTCCCAATTAATCTGTTTTATCAATTCAGTGTGTGTTATCCTTTGGGTTAATATATTAAGACTTTTGGGGGGGGTGGGTATTTTAAAAGGAAATGTTAAATCTTTGAGTATAAAATAACTCATTTGAAATGCCAGATTTTCTCAAGGCAGAGTATTTAAATTTTTACCATTCTGAGTAGACAAAATGTATACTTTTCATTTTATTGTAGTAACCACAGTAGAATTCTTAAATCACTAAGGAAACCCACTCTAAACTTAAGCCCCCCAAAAGAAAAAGATTACCTTTCATGTAATAGAAAAATCCAGTGTAAAGTTGGTCTCATTTTCTATGAGCCTCCACTGTAACTGGGGAGAAGATTTTGTGGGGGCCTGGGAGAATGGGAGAGGAATAAGAAATGTTGATAAAGTCTCAAATCACTTCATTGAAACTTGAGTTATATTCTTTGGATTCTGTTTCTCAATACCCACTCTATAATTCTGACATGTTAGGTCTACTTTTCTCTAATTTTTGACTTTATTCCCTGCACACAACCTCCTTCCTATTCAGGATCGTAACTGTGTAAGACAAGTTTATGGCTTTGTGGTTATAAGCTGCTGAGATCAAGATCTTAGGTACCTGGGAATTATCTGGAATGGATGGAGCCAGTGTTGGGTCGCTTGGCTTGGCTAGTGAAGTGTTAGAACCTGGCTGGCAGGTTGCTGCCAGTATTCCCTGGGGCCACTGGCTATGCTCATTTACTCTGTGTACTAGCAACTCTTACTAGAGAAAAAAACAATTACCACTCTTGTTTATCCCTACTCTTGAGTTGCTAAGAACAGGTCTGTTTGCAGGAAAGTATGCTGATGACATTTCCCCCTAAATACTTTTTAAGTGTATTAGAAAATGCTACTGCATTTCATCTCTTAATAGTCCAGACAATTTGAGATGAGACACTGCTTTTAAGGTATTAAAACATATAGTGTATTTAAATAATATGTGAACCATGAACTTCCAGATGTTCAAGCTGGTTTTAGAAAAGGCAGAGGAACCAGAGATCAAATTGCCAACATCCGCTGGGTCATCGAAAAAGCAAGAGAGTTCCAGAAAAACATTTATTTCTGCTTTATTGACTATGCCAAAGCCTTTGACTGTGTGGATCACAACAAACTGTGGAAAATTCTGAAAGAGATGGGAATACCAGACCACCTGACCTGCCTCTTGAGAAACCTGTATGNAAGCTGAAACTCCAATATTTTGGCCACCTGATGCGAAGAGCTGACTCATTGGAAAAGACCCTGATGTTGGGAAAGATTGAAGACAGGAGAAGAAGGGGACGATAGAAGGATGAGATGGTTGGATGGTATCACCAACTCAATGGACATGAGTTTGGGTAAACTCCAGGAGTTGGTGATGGACAGGGAGGCCTGGCTTGCCTGGGGTTCATGGGGTTGTAAAGAGTTGGACACGACTGAGTGACTGAACTGAACTGAACTAATAGGTTGGTTATCAGTGTGATTCTGCCAATAAAATTTATAATATACATATATATGGAAATTTGGTGATATGAAAGATTTTGAGATTTGCTTCAGAATTCTAGAGAAAAGACTAAGAGTTAGGTATCTTGCCCTGATGGTTTAGCTTGTGGGAATGCTAAGCCAAAAGGAAAATAAACCCATATACGGTTGGTGAGGCTTGAGGAAGGAGGAGAAAAGTAAAGAGAGCTTCACCAGAAATTAACTACCGGTGGGAAGAGAAGACACCACTAGCGAAGCCAAGTTAGAAATTTAATCTCAGTTTCACTTCACAACTGTTTATTTGCTTTAGCTATGATGTGGAATTTTTTACTTCAACCAGACCGAAAATAAAAGGCAGGATATGCCAGAAGAGAAGGCAGATTTCCATGGCAGTTTTCTTGTCCTCACATAACTGAAGTCTGGCTGCAGGTGGACTCAGGCCTGGGAGGGCCCTTCCCCCAGAAGGAATTTAGGAATCACAGTTTTCCTGACCACTTTCCCTCCTTCCTTTACATGAATGAGAACTGCCAAAGGAGGAGGGTACCAGTGCTAGGGAAGGCAAAGCTCGTCTGTCAGATGGGTTGAAAATACTGCACCTGTCTCTGAGTTGGAGTTTGGAGTTCTTGTACTTCTAATTCAAAGAAGGTGCTCCAACCCATTACAGTAGGGCCTGTCAACCTTTGTGCTGAAGCACAGGTCTGCCTGGGATTGGCTTGATGTGACTTTGCAAAACACAATTTTGCCAAAGACCTATTTCAAAATCCGTGCAAGAAATGCACTCCAAATTGTTCATGTTACTTTTGAAAAGAACTTTTTTATTGTTCTTAATAACTCCCTAAATCTTAAAATTTGCATTCCGGGGCTTGTTTTTCTTTGAGGGGGGGTGCACCTGTTTGTACCCATTATCTTAGGAAACATGGAGTCGTTTGCTTTAAAATATACATCATGTACACATTATAGTCACTTGCTTTAAACGTACATGAAGTTTATACATAATCTGCACTACAGCATTATACTTAAGGTTTATTACAGTAACTGAAGAGGATGTGTTCCAGGAAATTTGCATCCAGAAGAGGCATGTGGAAGATAATGTGAGAAGCGTAGCTGTGAGTTTTAAAATGTTAAAGAGAGGTAAAGTGCCAAGAAACCAATTAAATACTGGCCAGAGTGAAGTAATGACGAACATGCTGGAAACCTAAGCCTCTGAAAGTCTTGAGGAAGGCTAAAATGCTGGTTTTATAAATGCTGCCTGTGAATGAGTGGCTGGATGGAGGAATGGGTTTGGTTAAGGCAGTGGTTCTCAGCTGGGCGTTTCTCCAGGAGACACTGGGGATGAGACTTGTTTGATTGTCACTCCTGGGAGGGTGTGGTGTTAACTCCTGGTGTATAGCTGGTAGAGCCAGAAATGCTATGAAACATCCTACAGTGGCCATGACCCATTCCCACAACAAAGAATAATCTTGGGTCAAAATTTAGTAGGGCAGCTGTTAGGAATGTGGGAGGAGGGTGCTGGGAAAGGAGAAGATTGGGAAACAGAGACAGTGGACCAGCATGTGCTTACTTAGAGAGGATACTGGAATGGATCCTGGGAGCCACAGCCTTTAGCGGGGACCCGGGGTTGGTGGTGGGGTGGAGTGGGGAGACGGAAGTTCTCTTCTAGCCGAGACTGAAAGGATTTCCTATCAAGGAGGCCTGGTATAGTTTCAAGGGTCTCATTTGCTTCCCTGAGTAGTTTTAACATGTTGAAGTTTAAAATTGCTTCGACAGAGGAAGACTTTGATTCCAAAAATAAGGAACTAAATTGAAGGTGACAGACATTTCTGTGGGAAAAGACTTGTCAAGCCAACAAAGAAATGGCTGTTAGTAAATAATTTCTGGTTTTGATTAGGACAGAAGAGAAGGACTTTGAGGGCTTGAAGCTGGTGGTGGGCCTCTGCAGAGCACAGAACGGGGTACAGAAAGAGGCTTCACATGGTCTCCTGGGGAAGTCCCGATTTCCTTGGCACTTGTGTGGGCAAGTGAACCATGACCAGAAGCAGCTTTGAGGTACGTAAGTTTAAAAACAGCCTAGCATTTGTGTAGGAATATTTTTTTCCCCTGGAGAGATTTGTAGTTATGAGTTGGGTGGTAAAAGACGATTAATATTTCAGACTAATAGAGTCCAGAAACGTCTTCTAACAATTAAAATAACCTGGGTTTAAATCCTCCAGGCTTCCACCTCCTCTTAGGCTGAGAGGGTGGTGGGGAATAGCTTTGGAGTCTGTAGGAAGGACAAGGGAATCCACACTTGAAAGGCAACTGTGTTCTTTTAATATTCCAATTTGAGAATGATGTTTGTTTAGCTTCTTAAAGCATGTTTTGAGGTTTCTTTGTGCCAGGAAATGTGGAGGCTAACAGTTGTGAAGATGTATAATGCAGCTGCTGCATTCAGGGAGTTTATAGTCCAGTCAAACACAGCACAAAATAGTAAGTCCCAGTAAAAGAAGCCTAACAAAGGGGACTACAGAAGTAGAGGGTGGGGCATTGGCTAAGCCCTTGAATACAGAGTTTTTGGTAAATGAGGGAGGCAGGTTGGGCAGACAAGAGGAACAGGATTTTGGAGATGGGACAGTGCAGAGGCGCAGAGTCTCTGATCATTCCTGCAGGGAAGGACCATTGAGGGGAGGTGTCTGGGGGAGTGGGAGGAAGAGGGGTGAGTGACGTGATGGGGAATGGGCTGGAACACGAGGTTGGGGGGAAGATGGTAGAGGGCATTGAGAGCTGAGGAATCGGGCTGCATTCTATGGATAATAGCCAAGGAGGGGCTTTGTACAGGTGAGCAGTAGGATCAGATCTGGGTTTTGAGGTGATCTGGCTCTAGCGAGGGTATGGGGGGCTGAAGCAGAGGGGAGGCAGAGGCTCTAAACATATTCTGGTACCCTCATAGCATCTCTTCAGGTGTCTTTGACCTCGGAGACAAACACACAGTGATTTATGCAGTTACAACTCTCAGTTTCTGTGGTCATAGTCCCTTTATATTCTGGAGTTTTCTTTTACTTCGGGGTTTAGATTCATGCTAAAATTTACATTCCCTTAGAATTACCCTCCTTAAATAGAAAGTCTCATGTTTACAACATAACTTTTAACCCTTTGGTATCATTTAAGTTTCTTTTTATATCTATTTTCTGCTCATTGGCTGAGGAGCCTGTCTTGCCCAGCGTGCATGAAATTTATTGTAATTAAAAGTGTCTGGAGTTTTAATGTAATTATTCTTATGGGGTTTTTTGGCTGCACCATGCAGCTTGCTAGATCTTAGTTCCCCAGTCAGGGATCAGACCCATTCCCTTTGCAGTGGAATGGTGGAATCCCAACCACTGGACTGCTACGAAATTCCCTGGTATGACTTTCGTTAGCAGGAAAACCTAGCAAGGAAATGCACTCTGGAATATACTGCTCACTACTATTAGAGCTGCATGGAGGCCAATACACTGGACGTGTCTCTTATGTTTCAATCCCCTAAGGCTTTTCTGCTGCTGCTGCCAGCTTTACCTGAAGCAAAAAGTTTTCTTCTTTTTTTAAAAAAATGATTTTTATTTATTTTATTATTTGTATTTGTCTGGGCTGGGTCTTCACTGTTGCTGGCAGGCTTTCTCTAGTTGCTGCGGGCAGCAGTTGTGTACATCCGCTTCTCATGGTGGCGGATCCTCCTATCGCAGAGCACAGGTTCTAGCACGCTGGGGCTTCAGTAGTTGTGGCACATTATTTACTTCTGGGCATGTGGGATCGAACTCATGTCCCCTGAATTGGCAGACAGATTCTTATCCACTGCACCACCAGGGACGTCCGAAAGTTTTCATTTCTTTACTCATCTGTTACACTGATGTGCATATATGTATCTTCTCAAAGATGATAATTTTATCTGTTCAAAATTGTACACATAAAATGTAAAATATGTATCAGTTCAGTTCAGTTCAGTCGCTCAGTCATGTCCGACTCTTTGCGACCCCATGAATTGCAGCATGCCAGGCCTCCCTGTCCATCACAAACTCCCGGAGTTTACTCAAACCCATGTCCATCGAGTCGGTGATGCCATCCGGCCATCTCATCCTCTGTCGTCCCCTTCTCCTCCTGCCCCCAATCCCTCCCAGCATCAGGGTCTTTTCCAATGAGTCAACTCTTCGTATGAGGTGGCCAAAGTATTGGAGTTTCAGCTTCAGCGTCAGTACTTCCAATGAACACCCAGGACTGATCTCCTTTAGGATGGACTGGTTGGATCTCCTTGTAGTCCAAGGGACTCTCAAGAGTCTTCTCCAACACCACAGTTCAAAAGCATCATTTTTTGGTGCTCAGCTTTCTTCACAGTCCAACTCTCACATATAAGCAAAATAAAATGATAATCTTGAGATCAGGAATAAAAGAATACAAGGATTTGCAGTACTACTGTAAGCTTTAAGTATATAAAAAATTCCTTTGAAATTTACAAATGAGCAGACCTACACATTTAGAGTGTTTTCTTCTCCCTCAATTTATGCAGTATCACTATATGACAACTTAATGGCTAGAAGAGTTTAATTTTTTTCTTATGTCCAACTGTAATTGATTTATAATATTATTTTCAGATGCAAAGTGATTTGGTTATATATAATCTATGCGTTTATGTATGTTCTTTTTAAAAATTATTTCCCATTGTAGGCTATTATAAGATATTGACTATAGTTCTTTGTGAAAGTGAAAGAAAGAAAGCTCAGTTGTGTCCGACTCTTTGCAACCCCATGGACTGTAGCCTACCATGCTCCTCCGTCCATGGGATTTTCCAGGCAAGTGTACTGGAGTGGGTTGCCATTCCCTTCTCCAGAGGATCTTCCCAACCCAGGGATCAAACCTGGGTCTCCTGCATTGTAGGCAGATGCTTTACCATCAGGGCCACGAGGGACGTCAATAAATCCTTGTTGTTCAGCTATTTTGTATATGGCAATGTGTATCTGTTAATCCCATGCTCCTGATTTCCCCCTCCTTCCCCTTCTCCTTTGGTAGTCATAAATTTGTTTATGTCTGTGAGTTTGTTTCTGATTTGTAAATAAGTTGATTTGTACTATTTTTTTAGATTCCACATATAAGTGATATCATATGATACGTGTCTTTCTCTGATTTGCTTCACTTAGTATGATAATCTCCAGGTCCATCCATGTTGCTTGCTGCAAATGGCATTTATTTCATTCCTTTTTATGGCTGAGTAATATTCCATTGTCTATATGTACCATATCTTCTAGGTTGCTTCCTTGTCTTGGCTATTGCAGAAAGTGCTGCTGTGAACATTGAGGTGTATGAACTTTTTGGATTAGAGTTTTCCTCTTTTCCAGATATATGCCAGGAGTGGGACAGCCAGATCATATGGTACCTCTGTTTTCTAGTTTTGTGTTTATTTTTTTTAAAGAATCTCCATGCTATTCTCCATCATGAAGTGGCTGCACCAATTTACATTCCCACCAACAGTATAAGAGGGTTCCCTTTTCTCCACACTCTCTCCAGCGTTTATTATTTGTGACTGGAGTGGGGTGACACCTCATTGTCGTCTCAATTTGCATTTCTCTAATAATTAGTGATGTTGAGAATCTTTTCATGTCTTTGTTGGCTATCTGTATATCTTCTTTGGCGAAATGTCTATTTAGGTTTTCTGTGCATTTTTTTTTGATTGGGTTGTTTTTTGATTTTGAGTTGTACGAGCTGTTTGTATATTTTGGAAATTAAGCTCTTGTTAGTTGCATTGTTAGCAAATATTTTCTCCCAGTTAGTAGACTGTCATTTTGTTTATGGTTTTCTAGAAAAGTTTAATTTTTTTGAAGGGGTTTTTATTGTGAAAAATGAGAAAAAAAATACCCTATGAATTAACAGAGTAGATTATTTAAAAAAAAAAAAAACACCAAGCTTACTTTAAACAGCCATGTGAAAAAACAAGAATTGATAAATAAAATCTATGGCATATCCCAATATACTTTGGGATGCAGATATTCAAAGTAAAATTTATCACTGTTGTTGTTTTTAACAACTGAAACCCTTAAATAACAACTGCCTTTAAAAAATTTTTATAGAAGTTAATTTACAATGTTGTGTTAGTTAATGGTGTATAGTAAAGTGATTTGGTTATACATGTATGTTTTCCTTTTCATATTCTTTTCCATTATGGTTTATTACAGGATATTGAATAGTTGTCTATACTATACAGTGAGACCTTCTTGTTCACCTATTTTATATATAATACTTTGTATCTGCTAGTCCCAAACTCCTAATTCATCCCTCCCCCACCCCCTTCACCCTTCGGTAATGTAAGTTTGTTAAAGGCAGCTTTTAAGAAAAAGGTGGTGAACGGGTTGATACCAAGGCCAGCGCTCCGTCTCCCAGTAGCTCGCCCACTCCCGGCGGCCCGGCCTGAGCCCTCCCCGGACACCTCGCCCTTCCAGTCCTCCTGAGCCCTGCAGCTCCGCCCCAGCTTCCTCGGCAGCCTCTTGGTGGGAAAACAGTATGATTCAGTCCTCACACTCACTGATGAATAACGAGCGGCTAGATTTACTTCCTCCTGCTACACACACTTAACACCAACTCTGTTATTCCCTGCAAATGAAGAGTCCTCCCTCTCCCAAGATCAGAGACCCGAGGAGCCGGGGAAGTTCCGCAGAGGGCCGGGCTGGGCGTTCTGTCTCTAGGGTTCTCCGCCTCAAGACTCTCCCCTCTGCTCTCTGCTCGCCAGTCATTTTATCAGGGAGCAGAGGCCGCCGTGCTGTGCTGGGCCCTGCTATCCCTGCGGATTCAGCAGCATCCCTCCTCCCTCCCCTCAGACGGGGAAGGACACGTGGTCCGGTGACCCTTGCCGGGGGGAGCCCGTGATGGTCCCCCAGGGAGGGGCACCCGCCTGAGGGGCGCGCGGCGGGAGGGGAGCTCGCTTCGGGCAGGGGCTGGCCTCCGAGGGTGGCAGTTGCTGCCGTCCCGGCACTGGCATGTGAGGAACTCCTGCCACTCTCCCTTGGGGCTGTTGGCTTTGTGGCTTCCTGAGATGTTTTCCCAAACAGCAGGGCTGTGCCTTGACCTTCACGTTCCCAGCTTCTCAGGAGGTCGTGGAAGCACCTGCTCCCTTCCTGCCTTCTGTTTTCCTGACGGGACCCTGACTGATGAATAAGGCCTTTGGCTGACTTGCTCCCTCTGTCGTCCCCAACGGCAGTGGCTTAGTTTTCCGACCACGGGTGCAAACCAGGGATGACTCGGGATGTGCTCCAAATTTGTAATAAAGCCCATTTCCTGGTATTTCCTAGTCACCGTATACACTTTTCTCGAGATCTCCCACACCGCCTCCCAGAAAAACACAACAGAACAAATGAAAAGCACCATCATCATTGGTTAAATGTCTTCATTTATCATAGCCGCTATTGTTGCTACTATATCTCGCTTCATACCAGAATTGTGACAAAGGGCAAGTAGTTTTACAGAAAGTGAAGAAAGGTAAGAAGGTTGCTTAAATTTTTCCCAAACCTGGCTGGAGGGGAAATTCACACATCCTTCCAGTTTGTGAAACAGGCGCCGGATCTTTATTAAACTGGCCAGCAGAAGAAGGTCATCCCCGTTCAGGTATCGGAGCACTGGAATCTCCTCAGCATTCAGCAGCTTTTCAGCAAAGAGAGAGAGAAAGGAAGCTCAGGGTTGCATGTGGAAATAGTGACTGCAGAAGCAGGAGGTGGGAGGAGGTGAGAAGCAACACTAGTTAGGGGCCGGAGTCCCTTGTGAGTCTAATTATCTATAAATAGGGGCGGTGGTGTTAATCCTGATCTGAACAGGAATAAGCTGAGATGCTCTGGCGATCTGAGAGACTGGAGCAGACCAGGCCAAACAGAATTTGCATACTTCCTTTCAAAGGCATACAATGCATTCAAGTCATTATAACAACATGGACTATTACACCAGCATCTACTGAGGAGGGCACGGGAATGCTATAGTTATCCTGTCCCTGGGACACCCAGTGTGGAGTGAGTGCCGGCCTGGAGGGCTGGGGAGGCTGCGAGGAGCACCTGAGCTGGGCTTTCCAGACGGCCCTGGGATGACCAACACTTCTTTTCCTCTCCTGATATGTGCCCCCACCGCCAGGAGGCTGCTGCCCATGAACATTCCCAGGGCCCTTCCTTGCCCTCTGTGCTGCCCACGTCTTCTCAGCCCCGGGTGATTCAGGCTGATGCTCTCTCCTCCAGCTGCAGGAAGGTCAAGGGTCCAAAGCCTTGCCTGGAAAGTTTCCAAGGCTGAGCTTTAGGACCAGCCTGGGAGGGGCATGTAGCCTTAGTGGGATGGACTCAAGCAAGCCCAGCTGCTACCTCCTGCAAGCAGAGTGACCACTGGCCGGAGATGTGAGATCACAGTATTCTGCATTTTCACCGCTCCCCACGTTGGAGGGAAGGGAGGGAGGAAGGAAGGAGCGGTGGGGGAAGGAGGTTGAGGTAGCTGATAAATGAAGGGTGAATCACCATTTTTAGTTTTCCTTCAATCCCAAATCCCATAAAATGGGGAACATTTTCAGAGAGTAAATCACTAGGAAATAGGAAAGATTTTTATCAGCAGGAATACTCTTAAGGAATTCCTGAAAGTTGAGACGCGGCTGGGACCATATCCACTGAGAGATAAATGATGAAAGAACTAGTCCAGAACACACATATTCTGAGCTCAAAGTCAAGTGAATATTAGGATGGCATTTCAAGCAAAGAGCATTAAGAGGGAAACATACTGATGACGTTAAATTTTTTTTGTCAAAATAGAAACAAAAACCCTCAGTGATACTGTGAGTCACATAATGGACACAAAGCTGAAGGGCCGATAGGTGAGCTGGCCCGGGGTGAAAGGCGTTAACTCACCATGAAGACAACACCTTGAATTTCCTAACCATAGAACTTCAAGACAGATAAAGCAAAACCTGATAGAAATTATAGAAAAAATGGACAGATTCACAATTGTACTGGGATATCTTCATACATCTCTCAGAAATAAACCAACAATATAAAAAGAAAAGGATTTAGAGAGATGTATGAATAGAACAATTAAACATACATTATACAATTTGTGCCAATAAACATTAAACCATTTGGGGGGGGGTCAAATATACAAGGAACAGTCATAAATTATGTCATCAACTACAAAGAAAATACCCCTGCATTCTAAATAGCGAGAAAAAAGTGCAAGCCATATTCCTTGACCATTTATTTAGAAGTTAATGAGAAAAGGCAGCAAAGTTAAAAAACCTTATTTGAAAGTTCAGTAACTACTGAGTTGAAGGAATCAAAATAGAAATCATAAACTACATAGAAGGGACAGAAAACAAGAGCGCCACATGAGTGCCACGGTCGGGTGGGGTGGGGTGCTGGGAGTCTACACAGGGTGGTCGGGAAAGGACTCTAAGAGCAGAGCCCGAGGGCGGTGCGCAGTGGGGTCCGGGGCATTCCAGGTTGAGGGGGCGGCAAGTGCAAAAGCCTTGCGTCAGTGATGTGCGTGGTATTGTGCACAACAGCAAAGAAGGCCCTGGCGGCTAGAGCGCAGTGGCCGGAAAAGAGGACTGCAGAGAAACATTAAAAAGGAAGTCCAGGCCATGTGTACTGTTGCGGGTGTTTTACAGGGTCTTGGCTTTCACTCTGAGTAACGTTAGAAGTCACTAGACAGACCATTTTCATTAGTCGCTAGGTGATTTTTGATTTCCTCTTTGATGTCTTCAGTGAGCCCATGGTTGTTTAGTAGCCTATTGTTCAGCTTCCATATGTTTGTGTTTTTTTTTACAGTTTTTTTCTTGTGGTTTATTTCTAATCTCATAGCTTTGTGATTGGAAAAGATGTTTGATATGATTTCAATTTTCTTCAGTTTACTGAGGCTGACTTTGTAGCCCAGCATGTGGTCAATCCTGGAGCATGCTCCATGTGTACTTGTGAAGAATGTGTATTCTGCTGCTTTTGGATGGAATGCCCTATAAATATCGGTTATGTTTTCAAAACACCACTGTTACTATCATGACGGAATTGACTTTGGGAAGAGTAGAAACTGGGACGCTCAGGAGGAGGCTATTGTAACAATTTAAACAAGATGGACTAAGTAGATACATGAGGCAGACCGCGTGACAGTGATGAAGGATGCAAGGCGTGCTGGAATCTGGTGACCTGTTGCTGGTAGCGTTTAGATGACTTGCAGATGAAAGATGTGGGGTTGCGAAACAGAGAAGGGGGGACCAACCCCAAAGTTTTGGGTCTGAGCAGCTGGAAGAAAGGTGTTGCCATTTCCTGAGATGGAGAAGATCGAAGGTAGAACATGCCTTCCCATGTCATTTTGCTCTGTGAAGTTTCTCGTACCCTTCAGATGCCGGATGGAGAGGCAGGGTTGGAATCAGAGATGTGCAAGTTTAAAGTTCCTGAGAGATACACCTGGAGATCAAAGGAGGGGTTATCAGCAAGCAGATGGTATTTCAGGACAGAAAACTAATGAGATCACCTAGGGAGTGAGTACAGAGAGAAGAGGTGAGCCCAATGACAGGCTCTGGGGCCTTTCAGTATTTAAAGGAGGGGAGGCGAAGAAAATAGGCAAAGAAAAATGAGAAGGAGTGGCCCCTCAGGTGGAAGTAAAATCTAGCCAGAGTAGCTCCTGGAAGCAAGAGAGGAAATGCTTCCAGGGGGCGGGGGTGAGAATCTATGTGTGCGCATTGCCCCTGAGAGGGCATTAGACTTCGCGTATAGCAACCACAGTAAACGTGTAATACTATGCAACAGCCGAACAGACAAATTTACTTGGATATCTAGACATGAAAGGTATTCCACTTAACTTGTGGAAAACAAAAACAAATAGAACAAGTCTAAGAGTACAATCAGTGTAGTCAGATACAATTTTTATTTTAAAAAAGATGCACATGAATAAGTTACAAATATATAGAAAAGAGAAATACACACCAAATTTTCAGAGTGATTACCTTTGGGAAGAGGATTAGAATAGAAGGATGGAAGGGAGGAATATTGTTTTCAACTCTTTTATGTCAATATTATTTGAATCTTCAAATATAACAGTGTATTCACATGTCACTTTTGCAATTTTAAAAAACTGAAAGGGTAATTATGAGGATGATGAGAAAAGCAAACGTTTTTAACACCTAATTCTTTCTTTTGCACCAACTCTTTTTCTGATTAAGACTGATTTCGAAGGAGAGAGGCGAGGAGAAAGAGACAGAGCATTTTTGACATTTTTGGTAAGGATGCATTTACCATGAATGTATTGAACCAAAAAGAGGTCATATGGTAGATTTCTAACCAAGGAAGAAACTCATTTGGACCTGCCAGCTGACTGCAGTAGCTGGAACGACTGGAGGCAGCTTGAATATCACTTAGCACGGGGTGGATCCTTGCTCTCTGCTGACTGAATCTGAAGTCTCCCTTTTGTTTGGTGTTTATGAACCATCCCTGCGTATGTGGAATCCTGAAGTCATATTTCCACTTACTTAAATGTATAGACATTTTAGAAACTGAAGATGTCTTTGAAGTTTGGAGCCATCTCTTCCTTGAATAATTGATGAAACAAGGTCCTCAGAGTTTAGGATACCTATTCAAAGTCACATACTATGTATGTTCTCTATATAGTCACTCAGTCGTGTCCGACTCTTTGTGACCCCATGGACTGCAGCATGCCAGGCTTCCCTGTCCTTCACCAACTCCCAGAGCTTTGCTCAAACTCATGTCCATCAGTGAGTGATGCCACCCAACCATCTCATCCTCTGTTGTCCCCTTCTCCTCCTGCCTTCAATATTTCCAGCATCAGGGTCTTTTCCTCAGTGAGTCAGCTCTTTGCATCAGGTGGCCAAACTATAAGAGCTTCAGCATCAGTTCTTCCGATGAATATTCAGATGGAGAGCAAGAACTTATTATAATCTACCATTTGTTGAGTATTTACTCACTATCAGGCACTCCTAATTCATATTTTTTTTCCTTGTTTACCCCTCCACAAAACCCTAAGATATAGGTGTAATTCCCATTTTATAGTTAGGTAAATTGAGGATTAGGGAAGTGACTTGCTTAACATCCTAGAACAGTTAAATGATGAAACTAAAACTTGCTCACAGGTCTGTGTCTAAATATGGTACCTATTAAACCCTTACTCTTAACTACTGTGTCATGATACTTAAAGAAAATTTTTAAACTGTATTGATTAAATTTTAAGGAGTAAAGAAAAAGAATAGAGAGATTGAGCAACTAGAGGCACCAGGTTCCTGGGGATCAGGGACGAGCTTACAGACTTGGAAAACTTCATATTCCCATATATAGATCCAGTAATCATGGGGTTTTTTTAGTTTTGTTTTCTCTAAAATTAAAACATCATTTTCTATATCCATTATTGAAAGCACTTTGTTGGGTGAGTTGGTCTTTTGCTGTGTGCTCACAGACATTATATTTGAAGAACAGAAGGAAAACANTTTGTTCACAATGATGCTTCCTAAGGCCCACTTGACTTCACACTCCAAGATGTCTTATAGGTGAGTGATCACACCATCGTGGTTATCTGTGTCATGAAGATCTTTTTTATATAGTTCTTCTGTGTATTCTTGCCATCTCTTCTTAATATCTTCTGCTTCTATTAGGTCCATACAGTTTCTGTCCTTTATTATGCGCATCTTTGCATGAAATGTTCCCTTGGTATCTCTCATCTTCTTGAAGAGATCTCTAGTCTTTCCCATTCTATTGTCTTCCTCTATTTCTTTGCATTTTTCACTTAGGAAGGCTTTCTTATCTTTCTTTGCTGTTCTTTGAAACTCTGTATTCAAATGGGTATATTGTTCCTTTTCTCCTTTGCCTTTCACTTCTCTTCTTTTCTCAGCTACTTGTAAGGCCTCCTCAGACAACCATTTTGCCTTTTTGCATTTCTTTTTCTTGGGGATGGTCTTGATCACTGCCTCCGGAACAATGTCACGAACTTCCGTCCATAATTCTTCAGGCACTCTGTCTATCAGATCTAATCCCTTGAATCTATGTATATACATGTAGTCCCTTTTATATACATGTAATCTATTTATATACATGTAATTTTTATACATCTAATCCCTTGAATCTATACATATACATGCATATATACATAGTTCAGCTTTACTGAGATATAATCGACAAATTCTACATCTCTGTTGGGGCTTGCTTGGGAAATTCCATGGACAGAGAAGCTTGGTGGGCTACATCCATAGGACTGCAAAAGAGATGGACAGGACTTAGCGACTAAACAACAACAACAAACATCTCTATCGAGCTCATTTATTAAGTAGTCGGTGCCAAGGAACATGCTGAGCACTTTATATTCTCATTGAATCATCATAGCAATCAATAATATAATGGAGGAATCATCCCCATTTTATAGAGGAGGGCACTGAAGGTCCAGTTCACCAACTTAGCTAAGTGGCAGAGTTGAGGTTTGAAACTATGTCCTATAACCTGAAGTCTGTGTTCTTAACCATCATGTGGCACTGCTGGTCACTGAGAGTGTTCTTTGGGCCATGCCCTGGGTGGTGTAGAGAAATCTGGACTGAATCCTGCAGATTCTAACCTGCAGGAGCTCACCATCCAGTAGGAAAGGCAGCCACGAAGGCAAGTAAGGCGCATAGTTCAATAGTTCAGCAAGGACACACATAGACAGAGATGCGTACATGTACAACCTAGAGAAGGACATGATTGACCTTGTTTGGACAAAGGGCATGGAGGTCTGGGAAGTGTCTCTAAGGAAACAGGGCTTGTGTTGGGTCTTGAACATGGTCAGAACCCAGGACGCCGGACTCAGCCAAAGGCTTTCAGCTACAACACAGAGAAAAACAATACAAAATACTAAAACCAAAACCTCAAAGCTGCACTACTCATAGAGTAGACACTTGGTAAATGTTATTTGGAATCAAGTTTGAACTAAAAAGGAATTTGAGGAAGAAGAAACAATAAGGCTGTCTCAATTCCATATGAATTCAATTCAATTCCATATGAATTCAATTCAATTCCATATAAAACTTTCACTGTTTCTTCCTTTGAATTTCAGAATTCACAGTGGTGCACAGTAGATCACACACAAGTATAATGTGTCAGTAATAACACTAACAGACATTATTTTACTCTTATTATCCTAAGTGCTTTAAAATGTTTATAAAAATGGACCTACCTTCACTTTGGTTCCGACACTGATTCTTGCCTGTTGGCCCATTGCTAGAAAAGTGATTGAAATTTTGTCTTGCTCTAAGATGCGGATGCCAACATAATGGTTCAAAGCCAGAAACACGGGTTTAAATGAAACGAAGGGTGAGGAAGTGGCGGAACTTGACCAATTCCAAGCCCTGACTCTGTTGCCAGCCTGATCAGAATATTGACCACCCAAGATATTGATGTATACCCTGAGGAGAAAGGAGATTAAAAATCACAACAAGAACATTGCAATTCAACCTTGAGATTAGCTCTGCCACTTGCTAACCAAAGAGAGTAGCAGTTTATACTAGCCAATAGCCTATGGCCTGATGGCTCCGTGGTAAAGAATCTACCCTCACTGCAGGGGACACAGGAGACTCGAGTTCAATCCCTGGGTCAGGAAGATCCCCCGGAGGAGGAAATGGCAACCTATCCCCTATTCTTGCCTGGGAAATCCCATGGACAGAGGAGCCTGCTGGGTTACAGTCCACGGGGTCACAAAGAGTTGGACACAACTGCACACACACATGGCGTGCACAATAGCATATGAATAGTGGAAAACCTCATATAATCACAGGAGCCATAATACTGTGACAGAATTCTATACTAATTTGAAGTCCTGGGTGTAGTTTAAGACCTAGTGATAAACCAAAATGCATCCAGAGGTGGAACCAGGACAATAAAGGCATCTGGAAAGTGATGTGCTGGGGAGGATTAAGAGGGAGCAGGGAAGATTTAGTCTGGACATGAAAAAAACACGAGGAGGCAGGCTCTGCCTGGAAGATGGGTGAGGACTGGTGCTTAGCCTTCTCCTGTGCCAGTGTGGATATCAGCGAGTGTAAATTCTAGGAAAGGCTGTACTAGCCTCAGTGCTGAGACTTGTTTTCTAACATCAGCGGGGGTGGGGGCAGGACTTCTTCGAGGATATCAAGGCTGGTGTGGGTAGAAAGGGCTCAGGGAGCATCTTTGAGATCACTGTGGTTGAGAAGAGCCCAGTAATGGAGTGGAAGGGGGAACTGACTCCAGTCAGGCTCCCCAATCTCTTAGAGTCGCTGATGCCACGTTTTACTGCGTTACCAACAGAAGCAGCCCTGTGCCGTCTGAGATCTGGTGTCACTAGTGACTGCCGTTCTAGTCCATGAGCTCTTCTGCACACTCTATCACATCCTTGCATCTCGGCTCACCGTGTGTTTCTCGGGGAGAGAGGATAGGTAGGGTTCTAGGTACTTAGAGAGTTGGCTTAATGTGGTAATAAATTATTTTTAAAAATCACGTGAATCAGCCATGAGGGCACCCTAGAGTAAGATAACTCACGTCTTATCTTCCCAATTTTGAGTGGCAGCAGTAATCTAATAGCAAAAATACACATAAGAAATTGAGGTGTTATCTAATTGTTTCTGGGAAGAAGATTTAGTTTAATCGTGCTATGTGGGTGAAGAAAACATTTGGTTAAAATTATCTAGATAAATTGTTTATTAAATAAACTTTGAGTCCATGCCACTTACATAGTATGTAGTGGCAAAGATTCAGGGTGTGCCTTCAAGGGACGTCAGTCCTGCAGGAGCGGTGGGCTTGCTACACAAGAGGCTACGAGCGTATTAAGGAGCCATGTCAGGGGGCCCAGAATCAGCTGGTGGGTAGGAAGGCTTCACTGGTACAGAAAAGTCCTAGAAGCCAGTGGATATTTGGTGACAATTAATATTGTGCCTTTCCAAATAAATGTAATACAGAATTGCTGCTCTTATTGTTCACTCAGCAGCTCATGTCTGACTCTTTTCCACCCCACAGTCTAAGGCCTGCCAGATTCCTCTGCCCATGGAGTTTTCCAGGCGAGAATACTGGAGTGGGTTGCCATTTCCTTCTCCAGGGGATCTTCCCAACCCAGGGATTGAACCCGGGTCTCCTGCATTGGCAGGCAGATTCTTTACCACTTAGCCACCAGGGAAGCCCACAGAATTGCTACTGAGCCCTGAAGGATAAGTAGAAATTCTCCAATATAATTGGGGATAATGGTTTGACTACTCCTTTGAACTAGAAGTGCAATATTAATAGCTTCCTGTGTCCTAACTTTCTCAAGCACCAGCAGAGTGTTCAAACTTTTGTCAATTTATTGGCAGAGTTTCTCAAGATGATATTGTTATACTTGTAAATAGTTTAAAGGCAGAGAATATCTCTTTCTGAAAAACTTAAAAAGTTGAAATTGTACTTGAAGTTAGAACCCAAATTTCACTTTCTCAGGCTAAATGAAATAATACAAGATCACAGAGCATATAAATCATAGATCAAAGGCATCAGGACCTTAATCTCTAGAGATTTAGTTTGTATACTGTTGTTAAGAATTAATTGTTAAAGAATTATATAGTTGCTCACAGGAAAAGTGTTGTTCGTTTGGCTATGGGGTGCCTTGTTGTTTGGTCACCAAGTTGGATCCAACTCTTTGTGACCCTATGGACTGTAGCCCACCAGGCCCCTCTGTTTATGGGATTTTCCAGACAAGAATACTGGAGTAGGTTGCCATTTCCTTCTTCAGTGGGTTGCCTACTTGTTAGGGCTCTATCTCAAACAACAAGAGTATGACAGCTGTCCGTTGTGAATTATTCCATTGATGAGGCCAGCATATAGGCTATAGAGAGACTGCTGGGTTTGTATCTCACATCCCTAGAGTGGCCATATAATTTAACTAGAGGTTTTTTTTTTTTCTAATATTAAAATTGTACAGCTCATATTTTCTTGCTGCTTATAGAAAAAGTATGATGAGTTTTGTTTTATGTAACTTCCTGGGATTTTTCCACTGCATATGGGATGACATAAATAAAAAACTTCTCTGAATTGAACATTCCTATCCTACAACCACTAATTTAAATAAATCTTCTTAAATTCATTTTTGTCTTTCTAGTCATACGATGAATAAAATCTGGGGATCTAATGTAGAGCATAGTGATTTTAATTAACACTGCAGTTATGTAGTTCAAAGTTGTTAAGACAGTGGATCTTAAATATCTTAGAAAGAAATGGTAATTACGTGACATGATGCAGGTGTTAGTTAGGTAATGCGACAAAAGTAATCATTTTGCACCATAAAAGTGTATCAAATCAACAACCATTATACACTTGTAACTTACCCAGTATATGTCAATTATATTTCAAAAAAGTTGAAAAAATAAAAGAAAAAATAAAATTTCATGAAACTTAAGAAACAAAGTGACTGGAAGAGGAATCTAGAAGCCTACCAGACATTTCCATTGGGATGATAGCAGGAACTTCTACCAGAAGAATCTAGCAACGCCAGGATTGCAGGGTTAGTGGGCACGTCTTCCTGGACTATACAAGTGAATCCACTTATCCTGTTGGGCACTCGGATGATGGCTAGGTTTCCAGATGGGTAACTGAGATCAGTTAATGTCATTTGAATTATTCTAATGGTCTTTGACTAGCCTGAGAGTAAATTTAATTTATGAGAGAATCCTTTGAAACTATAAAGCATTCTGAAAATGAATGGGAAGCACCATTAATTACTAACAAATTCTGTGCTTTCTGTGTGAATCAAAATATATTTATGAGACACAAAACTCCTCAGCCAAAAATACCAGCAAATGGAATCTAGCAAAATATAAAAAGGATTATAAGTAAAATGACAAACCGGGGTCTATCCCAGGAATGTAAGGTTGGATTACCACCTAAAAATAAATTAACGGGAACATACTACATTGATAGAAAAAAAAGCAAAAATAGAGATGATCATTGCAATAGACAAAAAAAAGCATCTGACAAAATCCAATATTTTATCGTGATAAATGACTCAATGAACTAGGAATAGATAGGAACTCCTCAACCTAATAAGGCATGTCTAACAAAAACCACAGTTAACATCACACTTAATGATGGCAGACTAGGTGTTTTCCCCCTTAAGATCAGGAAGCAAACAAAAGTGTCCACTCTCCCCACTTCCATTCAATCTCATGCTGGGGGTTTCAATCAGGAAAATATTATGAAAGAAAAAGAAATGAAGGCATCTATATTGGAAACAGAAGAAGTAAACTATCTCTAATTGCAGATAACATGCTCTTGAATACAGAAAATCCTAAGGAATCTACAAAACAATGTCATAGAACTAACAAAAGAGTTCAGTAGGGTTGTAAACTAAAAGGTCAATATATATGCAAAAAATTGTATTTCTAAGCAGTGAACATTTTGAAGATGAAATTAAGAAAATAATTCCATTTACAATAGCATCAAAGAATAAAATATACTGAGGATAATTCATGAACTGTTAATATTCAGTCCTATCTAAACTGATTGGAAGTCCAGCGGTGAAGTAAACACAAAATTGATTCTGAATCATTTCGAAAATCAGCCTTAGTCTTCAAAGGAGTGAAAAAGAATTAAAGCTAGGGCAGGAAATGACAATTTATGATACAAGTTGGAAAGTTAATTAAAAATTTTTTGATAAAATGAAAGAAAAACCTACTCTCTTTCTCACAGGGCTTGGGGAACTACAACTTCCTTATACTTCTTATGCCATTAAAGTCATTTTTCTAGGTTTTTGATGGGGTTTGACTAAACATTTAGGCAACTATGGCTAAAAATGACTTTCTCCTACAAAGTGAGGCCCTTAGTTCACCAAAAACTCCTCCTAATTTCATAGCTTTGCTTTTCTTTCCCAGAGATATTAAATGTCCTTCATGTCAAAATAGCAAATGGCCTGGCCATCAGGCAAAAGTTCAAGTGATCAATAACTTAGTGTTCCATAAAATGGATATTGAATTTTTGCATTAAAAAACAACATACTGCTCATGGATGTGTAAACTGGTACACATTTTCTGGGGGACAAAATCTATTAAAGCTTTTTTCTTACCCAGAATTTCTATCTCTAGGTATTTAATTCAAGGAAATAAGTGATAAGTAAGCAGCAAAGTACGCACAAAGCTGTTCATTTAGCCATTGTATAAAACAGCCCCAAACTGTGAAACCACCTTTGATCAGTAATAGCGGATAGATTAAAGGAATTATAGTTCCTCCCTATGATGGAATACCATATGCATATAAAGATGGTGCAGTATCTCTGTATTTATTGCATATTATATACTCATAATGTTTATGAGTACTTATTGTCTAATAGTATTATGTAAAGGGAGCAAGTTATAAAATATGAAGAACTTGCTTAAGAATTAATTTTTAAAGAATTATATAATTGCTCCTAGGAAAAAATAAGGAAAGATATATAAACAGATGTTAATAGCTTTGCTCTGTGTGATAGGATTTGGTCATATCTATCTTTTTCCTTCATATTTTTTTAACCTCTCTTTTCTTTAGCTTTCTTTTTCTGAAGAAATAAGCTAATGAAAATAAGTTGAAAGGAAGGATACAATATTTGCGTCGTCCCGTCTGGAAATGAAGTCAGAAACTTGCTTCCATGTCTGTAGTGCTTTTCGAAGAGCTCATCCGTCATGATCTACACACCACAGAGAACAAAAGGATGCTTATATGATGACAGCAGACATCCTTCGCTTGCAAGATAGTGGTACAAACCATTTCTTAACTTAAATTTTCAGTCTTGCATTAGCAACCGGGGACAATCTTTAGGAATCATTAAAGACTGTCCCTAGCCCATGCAGATAACTTAATAAAATCTTTCTGGCAGGAGTCTGACATTACTTATCTGTTTAAAGGGTCTGTGTTTTTTGTCTTTTTAAACTTGTTTAAAAGGTTTAAAAAATTTACTCAGTAGGACAAGACAGAAGAAAGTGCTTAGGCTTTAGTCAGGATTATATTTTAAGTAACTGTTCTCATCAAAACAGCAAACACTTAAAAAGAGCTGATCACATGGTAGGTATTTTTTTTTAATTGAAGTATAGTTGATGTACAATATGATATAAGCTTCAACAGAGTGATTCACAATTTTAAAGGCTACATTTAATTTAAACTGATTATAAAATATGGGCTGTATTCTCTGTGCTGTACAGTATTATCCTTGTAGCTTATTTATTTTTTTGCTTATTTATTTTATACATAGTTGTTTGTACCTCTTAAACTCCTATCCCTATCTTGCCCTTCCCCACTGCCCTCCCCCCACTGAAAAGTACTGGTTTGTTCTCTATGTCTGTGAGCCTGCTTTTCATTATATTCACTAGTTTATTTCCTTTTAGACTCTCCATATTAGTGATACAATGCAGTATCATTGTATCTTTTCTGACTTATTTCACTTAGTCAAATACCCTCCATCCACGCTGCAACAAATGGCAAAACCTCATTCTTTTTTATGGCCGAGGACCATTCACATCTACGAGTGTTAGCCGCTCAGTCGTGTCCAATGCTTTGCAACCCAGTGGACTGTAGCCCACCAGGCTCCTCTGTCCTTGGAATTCTCCAGGCAAGAACACAGGAGTGGGTTGCCATCTCTTCCCCAGAGGCTCTTCCCAACCCAGGGACTGAGTCTGTGTCTCCTGTCTTTCGAGCAGATTCTCTGCCATCTGAGCCACCAGGGAAGGCCGTTCCTATGTATCTGTGAGTGTGTACGTGTGTATATGTTGCATCTGCTTTATCCATTCATCTGCTGATGACAGTCTGTTTCTATGTCTTGGCTATTTTACAATAAATAATGCTGCTGTGGACACTGTGGTGCGTGTCTCTTTGCGAATTAGCATTTTCATTTTCTCATGTATACGCTCAAGAGTGGAAGTGCTGAATCACACGGCAATTCTATTTTTAGTTTTTTGATGAAACACCATACTGTTTTCTGCAGTGACTGCACCAGTGTACATTCCCTCTAACAGTGTATAAAGTTCCCATTTCTCCACATCCTTGCCAATATTTGTTACTTGTGTTCTTTTGGATGACGCCATTCTTGACAGCTGTGAGATGATATCTTATGGTGGTTTTAATTTGCATTTCCTTGATGATTAGTGACGCTGAGCATCTTTTAATGTGCCTGTTAGCCACCTTTATGTCTTCTTTAAAAAAAATGTCTATTCAGGTCTTATGCCAGTTTTTCAATCAAGTTTATTTTTTATTTACCTACTTTTACTTTATACACATATTGCTGTGAAAACAGAAAATTAAAAAAAACCCAAAAAACCAGCCCTAGCACAATGGAGATATCCNGAGTGATGCTGAAGCTAAAGCTCCAATACTTTGGCCACCTGATGCAAAGACCTGACTCATTAAAAAAGACCCTGATACTGGGAAAGACTGAAGGCAGGAGGAGAAGGGGATGACAGAGGATGAGATGGTTGGATAGCATCACCAACTCAGTGGACATGAGCTTGAGTAAGCTCCGGGAGTTGGTGATGGACAGGGAGGCCTGGCGTGCTGCAGTCCATGGGGTTGCAAAGAGTCGGACACGACTGAGCGACTGAACTGAACTAAACTGGTAATATGAACACCCATGTTATCATCATCTGGGTCAAGAAATAGAACAGTGCTCAAACTCTAGAAGTCCCCTGTGTGCTACCCAAAGTCAGTGTTCTATAATCTCTAAACAATATAGTTTCTTTCCCATTTTGAATTTTACGTAAATGGAATCATATAATGGGAATTTTTTATATTTTGTTTCTTTTAATCAATGTTACATTTGTAAGATTCATATGTGTCCCAGGGTGTAGCCAAAGTCCAATAGCTTCCATTTGTGTACAGTATTCTACTGTATGACTTCATCATTTATTTATCCACTGTATTTTTAATGGATATCTGGGTTGTTCCCAGTTTTCAGCTTATAAATAATGATACTCTGACCACTCATGCATGTATGCTGGTACCCAGTTCCTCTCAGATCTTATATCCAGAGGAAGAATTGTCGAATTCCACTTTACAAAAGGATATGTGTCTTTCACTTTGCAAAAAGCTGCCAAAATGACTTTCAAGCCGTTGCACCAACGTGCATTTCCACTAGAGGCTAAACTGTAGTGACTGTTATTCTACATCCTTCCTAACACTCAGTAGCATCAGACTTTACAGTCTGTTTATTTATCTGTTTTTGCCAGTGTGATAGGTACGTACGTGCACGCGTGCATGTGCGCTCAGTCACTGTCCTGTCTCACCCAACTCTTGGCGACCCCGTGAACTGCAGCCCACCAGACTCCTCTGCCAGTGCGTGCTGATCTCTAGTCGTGGTTTCAGTTTTCTCCTCCCAGGTTACTAATGAGGTTGAGCACCTTTTCATGTGTTTACTGACCATCTGGATTTTCTCCTTGGAGAAGTGGTCAAGTTTTTTTTTAGTTCATTCTTTTTCTATTAGGTAGACTTTTTTTTCCTGTTGATTTATAAAAATTCTTTATACATTTAGAATAAAGGCCCTTTGTATATCACATGTGCTATAAAACATCTCCCTTCTTGGCTTTTCTTTCCAATTTTAATTTATTAATTCCTTTATGGATATTGCTTTTTAGAATTAGTTAAATCTTTCCCTAACCTGAAATAATAAAGTTATTCTCCTGTTTTTTAAAAAATCATTGTAGGTTTACATTTCACATTAAAGTCTTTAATCCACTGGAAATGAAGTATTATTCCAACTTCATTTAAAAATATGGATATCTAACTGTCCCAGCACCAGGTGTTGACAAGATTTTCCTTTCTCCATTACCTTGCAGGGTCACTGCTGGCACATATCAGGTGTCTGTGTGTGCATAAGTCTGATTCTGTATCGTGGATTTTTTTGTTTATCCTGTCCCCAAGATACACTATCTTAATTACTATACTTTGTAATGTTGTTGTTGCTCAATCGCTCAGTCGTGTCCGACTCTTTGTGACCCCATGCACTGCAGCACGCCAGGCTTCCCTGTCCATCACCAACTCCCGGAGTCCACCTAAACCCATGTCCATCTA